TTCATGATACAAAATTAACATGTAAAAATCAGTAGTGTTTCTATACACCAGCAATGAACTAGCAAAAAAAAAAAAAAAAAAAAAAAAAAAAAAATCAAAGAAGCATTCCCTTTCACAACTTTCACAATAGCTACTTTTAAAAACACACCCATAAATAAATTTAACCAAAGAGGTGAAAGATCTCTACAAGGAAAAACTATAAAACACTGATGAAAGAAATTGAAGATGTCACTAAAAAATGGAAATATATCCTATGTTCATGAATGGGAAGAATATTGTAAAAATAACTGTACTACCAAAAGCAATCTATAGATTCAATGCAATCTGTATCAAAATTATCAATGACATTCTTCAGAAAAAACAATTCTTTTTTTTTTTTTTTTTTTTTTTGACAAACTTTTTCTGTCTCCCAGGCTGCAGTGGAGTGGCATGATCTCAGCTCACTGCAACAACCTTCTCTCCTGGGTTCAAGTGATTCTCCTGCCTCAGCCTCCCCAGTAGCTGGGATTACAGGCATTCACTATCATGCCCACCTAATTTTTTTTGTTTTTGTTTTGAGACACAGTTTTGCTCTTATTGCCCAGGCTGGAGTGCAATAGCATGATCTTGGCTCACTGCAACCTCTGCCTCCCAGATTCAAGCAATTCTCCTGCCTCAGCCTCCCAAGTAGCTAGGATTACAGGCACCTGCCAACATACTCAGCTAATTTTTGTATTTATTGTAGACACAGGGTTTTGCCATGTTGGCCAGGCTGGTCTCGAACTTCTGACCTCAGGTGATCCACCCACCTTGGCCTCCCAAAGTACTGGGATTACAGGCGTGAGGTACCGCGGAAAGCCTTTTCTTTTTTTTTTTTTCTTTTGTATTTTTAGTAGAAACGGGGTTTCGTCATGTTGGCCAGGCTGGTCTTGAGCTCCTGACCTCAAATGATCTGCCCTCCTTGACCTCCCAAAGTGCTAGGATTACAGGCATGAGCCACTGCACCCAGCCTAGAAAAAACAATTCTAAAATTCATATGGAACCACAGAAGACCCCAAATAGCCAAAGAAATCCTGAGCAAAAATAAAGCTGGAGGCATCACACGAGCTGACTTTAATATGTACTACAAAGCTATAGTAAACAAAACAGCATGGTACTGACATAAAAACAGACACATAGACACAATGGAACAGAATAGAGAACCCAGAAATAAATCCACATATTTAGAGCCAACTGATTTTTGACAAGTAACCAAGAACATCCAGTGGGGAAAGAACAGGCTCTTCAATAAGTAGTTCTAGGAAAACTGAGTATCTATATGCAGAAGAATAAAACTAGACCTCTATTTCTCACCTTATTCAAAAATTAAATTAAAATGGCTTAAAGAATTAAATGTAAGACCTGAAACTATGAAACTACAGAAGAAAACATTGGGGAAACACTTTAGAACATTGGTCTAGGCAGATATTTTGGGTAAGACTGCAACAGCACAGGCAACAAAAGCAAAAATAGACAAATGGAAATACATCAAACTAAAAAGCTTTTGCACAGCAAAGGAAATAATCAAAATAATGCAGAGACAACCTACATAATGGGAGAAACTATTTGCAAGCTGTCTGTATGATAAAGTATTAATAAACAGAATACATAAGGGATTCAAACAACTCAATAGCAAAATAATAATAACAATCATCATCATCATCTTATTTTAAATTGGGCAAATGATCTAAATAGACATTTCTCAAAAGAAGACATACAAATGGCCAACAAACATTTATGAAAAAATGTTCAACACCACTAATCATCAGGGAAATGCAAATCAAAACCACATTGAGATATCATCTCATCCCAGTTAAAACTGCTATTATCAGAAAGACAAACAATAACAGGTACTGGTAAGGATGTGGAGAAAGGGGAATACTAGTTCACTGCTGGTGGGAATGGCAATTAGCACAGCCACTATGGATAAAAGCTATGGAGTTTCCTCAAAAAACTAAAAGTAGATGTACCATATGATCCAGCAACCTCATTGCTGAGTATACATCCAACAAAAAAGGAATCAGTATATCAAAGAGCTATCTGCATACCCATGTTTACTGCAGCACTATTCATAATAGCCAAAATACTGAATTAACCTAACTGTCCACTAGTGGATGGATAAAGAAATTGTGATATATATATGTATGTGTGTGTATATATAATATTATATATTATATAACATTATATATTATATTAATAACATAAAAATATACAATGTATATACATTATATACATTATATATACACACACACATACATACATACACAATGGAATACTATTCAGCCATAAAAGGGAATAAAATCCTTTCCTTTGCAGCAACATGGATCGAACTAGAGGTGATTATGTTAAGTGAAATAAGCCAGGCACAGAAACACAAACATTGCATGTTCTTACTTATATGTGGGAGCTAAAAAAATTGATCTCATGGAAGCTGTGAATAAAATGATGGTTACTAGAGCTTAGGAAGTGTAGGAGTAAGCGGAATGAACACAGGTTGGCTTAAGGGTTTAAAAATACAGTTGGATAGAAGAAATACATTCTAGTGCTTGGTAGCACAGTAGGATACTATTAACAACAATTTATTGTACATTTCAAAATAGCTAGAAGAGAAAATTTGACATGTTTCTAACTCAAAGAAATGTTGAATGTTGAGCTGATGGATATCCTGATTACCCTGATTTGATCATCACACATGGCAAGCATGTATTAAAATATCATATGTACCTATAAATATGTATATTATTATGTGTCAATTTTTTTAAAAAAGATATGTCTATTATGAGTTCTTAGCACTGAGTAGATGCCCAATGACCATAAGCTATCATTATTAAGACCAGCTTGTTGATACATTATAAATACAAGAAATTATGCTCCTCCATACCACATACACAGAAGATACTTAAAAATACATTCACCAAAAAACAAAAACAAAAACAAAAAACTAGCATTTCTTTGTTCTAAATAATTCATTACAAAAGTCATTTTCCCAAAGTCACTTGCTCACACATCCTACTACACATGTTGGTTTAGGCTGTAACCCCAAGAAAATGGGTATCTACATTCCAACCTGAGGGACCACAGTCAAAGCAAGATCAACAACAGTTTTGTGACCCTTGGCTGACCAACAGTTTTCACCCTATAAAAGATGTTGGAGAAGTCAATGAGGTGGGACTTAAAGAAGGGATTTATTTGGAAAAAGATACACTGTGAGTCCCATGGGTGAGGCCCAAGCCTTGAATAAGCAGTTTTCAATAGAATCCCTGACAGACTTTGTTTTGTATACCCTAGAGCAGCAGTTTTCAACCAGGGGCAATCAGCAATGTCTGGAGACACTTTTGGTTGTCACAACTCAGTGTGGGATAGGGGGAGACATCAGGGATGCTGCTAAACATCTTACAATGCACAAGACAGACCCCTGCAACAAAGAATTATCTACCCCAAAATAGCAATAGTGCCAAGGGTGAGAAGCCCTGCCCAAAGCTTGGGGATCCATATGGGCTGGTGTCTGACATATGCTAAAATATCTAAGAGGTAAGGAAATAGCTGGTTGCTGCGACACAGAGCCAAGATAGGCTGTAGCATTGCAAAAGAGTTGCGCATCTGGTTGAATGGACAAAGGATGCATGCAGGTTCTCCATGGACCAGACTTGGGCCCAGCACAGCAGGGTAGGCCTGGGGTTGTGTTAGAAGCTGTCCAAGAGGATCACCTAGAGGGGCAGGGCGACCCCACCAGAGAGACGCTGAGGGAACCCCTGATGTATTGGCAGAGGAAAGGAAGTAAGAGACCAGTGGAAGACAGGCATTTGCCTACAGTGAGAGACCCACAGCGGAAGAGGAGCACAGAAGTGCTTCATGACGGAGTCAGCTTTAGCACTCGTCAGGCTCCAGGGCAGGCCCAAACACCTGTTACAGTCAAGCATGACCTTCCACGACCCCCGGCTCCCTCCTCCCTAACCCCTGGCCTCTATTCTCTCTTGATCCCTCACTTCTCTTCCTCCTGACCCCTCACTTCTCCTCATCCTGACCCTTCACCTCGTCCCCTCCTGACTCCCTCAACTCTTCCCCTCCTGACCCATCATCTCTCCCCTCCTGACCCCTCACCTCTCCCCCTCCTGACCCCTCACCTCTCCTCCTCCTGACCCCTCACCTCTCCTCCTCCTGACCCCTCACCTCTCCTTCCCCTTGACCCTTCACTTCTCCTCCTTCCTGACCCTTCACCTCTCCCCATCCTCACCCCTCACCTCTCATCAGTTTACCTCTCCCAGCAACGCCAAAGATAAATGGGTGAGAAACTGCATACAGCAAGCTAGAAGAGCAGCACTTGAGGTACACAGCAGAAAATACAAGAGAAACTGCATGTCCCCTGCCTGGAGCAGGCAGCTGGCCCACAGGTGGCCCAAGCTGAGAGAGAGGAGATTTCATGTAGGGAAGTAGGGACTATTGCATGAAAATGACATAATTACTAAAATGATACATCTGGGGAACTAAAAATGACTAGATATTTGCTTATTTTTAGCTAATGAAACACTGTTATTATTTCTGCCTAAAACATTCATTCGGAGGGCAGGAACAAAAACAAGCTTGCAAAGGGTTTAAACAGGCGAGGAATGTTTTTTTTTTTTAAGGTGTTTTTTGATCACAATCCCTAAGTCTGGCTCCCTCAGCATGATAGTTACTTCTTAATATTTATTCCTTGTCAAGGTGAAGCAGTTAGTGTGTTAATGACAAAGGTACTCAGGCAAAGAAGAAACAAAGAACTATGTGCAGTGGTCAGCCATCTTTAAAGACTAGAGTTTGGAGACCACCACTTAGGCATTCTAAGAGAGGCCAGTAAAAGGAAGTGAGGGGTACACAATGTATTATGGGAGGATACCAACCTGCTCTTCCATAAAGCCTCCCTTTATGCCAAGGTCAGAGAAGAAAACCCCATGTAGACAGACCCTGAGCATGGCACTGGTACAGCGATAATGCACACTCCTTACCTGTCTGGGCCTTGGTGTCAGTCTTCTTGCTCTCCTGGTCCCCCCTCTGGGCCCACACGTGCACCATGTACTCCATGCCCGGTCTCAGGCCCGTCAGGATGGTGGTGCGGTGCTCCTTCCCCACCGGAACCTCCCTGGTCTCTCCGTCCGCAGAGGTGTAGCGCACCACATACTTGTCAATGGTGGCCTGCACCGGGTCCCAGGAGACAGTGGCCATATTCTCTGTCACCCGGTCAGTCACCAGGTTTTTGGGGCTGTCAATGTCTGGAAGGAAAATATTTGGAAAGGTTTAAGCTCTGAAGCCATGGAAGACATATCCATCCCTCCATCTTCATCATTTTCATCTTCCCGAGCTCTTTTAGAACAAGGCAATGGCATTCTCATCCTGAGTCTCCGCTGGGAGTCTAAGGAGAAAGTAGCCCTTGGTTCTGAAGTTCAAAGGAGGAATCATTATAAATGAGGCATTCTTTCTCGGCTTTCAGTTCCCTAAAATGTGGGAGGAACGATGTCTTCTCAGAAGCACATGGCACATCTCAACCTCCAATTAAACAGCTGCCATGACGTTTAGGGTTCCTAACTTAACATTTTATCAAGGGCTGCTACACTGATGAGCACTCTCAAAGTATTATCACAAGCATTGCAATGACCAGATCCTGTACACATCTTCTGCTAAAAGCATTGTTACTATAAGACTTTACTTTTCCCTTCCAGTGCGCCAAGTGGTCTCATGAACAGCTCATCACTGTCAGGGAAGAGCAGCCCACTGCCATCACCACGAGAGCTCAGTCTTTCATCTTTAAGACTTCTAATTGCAAAGTCTCTCTGCTCAGGCCACATCCTTTGATACCATACCCATTCAAATCCACAAGCTCAAAACTCAATTCCAATTGACCATCTCTCTTTTGTTACCTGTTGGGGCATTGGTGTTGGCCTTCTTGCTCTCTCGGTCCCCCTTCTGGGCCCAGACGTGCACTGTGTACTCCACACCTGGCCTCAGGCCTGTCAGGACAGTGCTGCTCTGCTCCTTCCCCACCGGAACCTCTCTGGTCTCTTGGTTGTCAGCAGAGGTGTAGCGCACCACGTACTTGTCAATGGTGGCCTGCACCGGGTCCCAGGAGATGGTGGCAGTATTCTCAGTCACCCGGTCAGTCACCAGGTTTGCTGGGCTGTCAATTTCTTTAAGAGAGAGATGAAAGAAGAATGTAGCCTTTACCACCCTCTAATTCCATAAAGATAGCACATACACAGTCAAAATCATAACCTCAACAAATGTCAGAGTCTCTAATATGTCAATGATTGAGTTAATGTAAAGGTCTAATTAAGCAAATGGTCTGAAATTCCAGTAATAAGCTGATAACATTTAATAAGAAGTGGAGTTTTCAAACAAAGCCAGCATCTTTATCAACTCTATAAACTTTTCCCGTAAGTTGCTTTGGAATAAAAGGAATTGGTCTTCACATTCAAATTTCTCCTTTACCCTGGATTTATATAATATATTCTTCTAGTTCCTGACTCCTTGTACTAGAAAGCAATTATACTGAATAAACCTCTGCATCTGCTCTAATATGTTCTTTGAGAAGAAAAATATCCTAGAAGTAGTAGCCATCAGTTCTTTCCATATAAAACATTATATCTGTGGCCAGGGAACCAGAAGACTTTTTACTTGATAGTATCCGAGGTCTGGGCTAATAAAAAGAATAAAACTTGTAGACTCTGTCTGGGTTTCTCTGTGATTAAACTGGGTTAGAACCTGGGCTCTATCTCTTCCTGGTGGCTAACTATGGACAAGCCATGTAATTTAAGTATCTGTCTCCTCAACTCTATGAAGAAAGAAATACCAGTACCTACCTCATAGGTTATGGTGAATAGTAAATGAGATATTGCATAGCAAATGCTTAAATATAAGTTGCTATTATTAATGGCATGTGAGGCATGAAATACCACTTTCTCCTCAAAATGTACATCTTTTGGGAGTCAAAAATCCAAGCAATTATGTGTGTGGTTAGCATGCCTTTATTATCCTCTTTCAGAAACTACCTCCTCAAAAAAGGCTGTAGTTTTTGTGACGGGACCTGCATTTCATATCTGCACAGGACCACTTGCCGAGGGGGACAGGCCAGCATGGTGGAATGCACAGCCATGTGCAGTGACTCACCCTAGGGAGCAGAGTTCAGCAAGCACCACAGACATCTGACATGAGGACAAATGATTTAGCACCCAGGATTCTGAGATGGCTTCATCCTTCACTGGTGCACCAAACACACAGACCGGCCCGCGACAAAAACCCCTTGAGATGGACCTAACCTGTCATATTCTCACACCTTAGCCTCTGCATATGCTGCCTCCCGTGCTAACTCTCACCCATCCTTCCAGGCTTTGTTCAGGTGTCACCTCCTCCCACAGCCTGCATGACCCCTATCCTGTCCCAGTCTGTGGTAGGTCCCCTTTCTTCAGTTCCCCATAGCTCCAGGGACCTTTGTTTCCTCTAGAACATAACACACTGTCCTTTATCTTTTTCACTTGCCTTCTCTACCCAGAGGAGTGTGAATGTCATACGGGCATGAACCATGTCCTTCATGTTTGTGCCCCCAGAGCTCAGCTCTGGTCTGACCCCTTCCCAGTGGCAATGCCACCCCCTAGAGGTTCCCTGCTGCTCACACAATCCCTGCCTAAGAAAAGGGAAGGTTCTTCTCTATTCCAACTTCCTCTGTTTCAAAAATGGGCCAGGCGCGGTGGCTCACTCCTGTATTTCCTAGCACTTTGGGAGGCCAAGGCGGGTGGATTGCCTGAGCTCAGGAGTTCGAGACAAGCCCTGGGAACACAATGAAAACCTGTCTCTATTAAAAATACAAAACTTAGCCAGGCGTGGCGGTGGGCGCCTATAATCCCAGCTACTTGGGAGGCTGAGGCAGGAGAATTGCTTGAACCCAGGAGGTGGAGGTTACAGTGAGCCGAGATCGCGCCATTGCAGTTCAGCCTGGGTGAGAGAGCAAGACTCCATCTCAAACAAACAAACAAAAAATGCCGACCCAAATGCTCTTTTCATGACGCTCAGAATCCTAGTAAAAAAGAGAGTCAAGTGTAACGTAAACCAGGAGCGGCAATCTACAACCCACAGGCCAAATCTGATCCACTGCCAATCTTTATCAATAAAGTCTTATTGGAACACAGTCACACCAGTCCATTTACACATCATTGTCTGTGGCTGTTTTCACGCTCCAATGGCAGAGTTAAGTACTTGCAATAGAGACTGTTGGACCCCCAAAGCCGAAAATATTTACTATCTGGCCCTTTACAGAAATTTGCTGACTTTGACTTTAAACAGATTTAGATATCACCATCCTTACTGTCAATATCTTCTCTGCTCCCCTGAAGAAGAGGTCAACTATTGAGGCCCACATGGATCTAGGAGGCTGTGCACCACGAAATCTTTCAAGGGCCAAATACTGACTAACATTCTAAAAAATCGTTGCTCTCACTTATGCCATAAGAAACAGGAACGGAAGTAAAGTAACTTGCCTAAAGCCACTCAGCTAGTCAATGGCAGAACTGGGGTTAAAACCTGGACAGTCAAGCTTCTGAAACTATATTCCTAACCACCTCTCTGCTTCTCTGAGAGTCTCTATACTCAGTGACTGTCCAGAACAGAATGCAAACAATAAGCGAGGCCTTTCCCTCTGATTTCCTGCCAGGTGTTTTGGAACCTCATATGGGCTCCAGGATCAGGCTGCTCTAAATTCAGAGAAGCACCAGGAGAGGATTTAAGCAGAAAGAATGGCTGGGCTACGTCCCAGTATAGTCCCAGGACCCCTACAGGCGCAAACTGAGCAGAATGACTGGGTGAAGTATGAGAACCCTCGCAGCTTCTGAAAGCTTAAAGGAAGAATTGGTCCATTTAGTAAATGTTGACTCAGGATGCAAACTATTTCCACGGTCTAAAAGAGAGCTCCAGATTATATGCAAAGTGCCTGTACAGCCACTGCAAACTGAGATAAGCATTCAAATTCACTGTCAGCCCAGTGTTTTGAGTTTTCACACTAAAAAATGAAAATTAGAAAGTGTTACCCTATTCTGAGGGGGTTGCATACAGAATTCCAACTCAAATAAGTATGACCTTCTGCATCAAGTGAAAAGGCTGATCTCTTTTGTTTGATGTCAAAAAATAAAAAAATACATAATTATGAAAATCAAAATTGGTTTTGCAACCCTCCTCCCCACTCCTGCAAACAAAAGAGCTGATGCCAGGTGAGCAATGACCTCCTGATTCAAAAATCAACCTTCTCCCTGCCACCAGAAAACTTTATGCTCCCGTCCTTCTGTTACCTGTGAGGGCATTGGTGTCAGCTTTCTTGCTCCCCTGGTTGCCCCTTTCAGCCCATACGTAGACCTTGTATGCCTCTCCTGGCTTCAGGCCCGTCAGGACAGTGCTGCTCTCATCCTTGTGCACTGCCATTTCCTTGGTGTCCCCATCAGCAGAGGTGTAGTGCACCACATACTTGTCTATGACAGCTTGCACTGGTTCCCAGGAGACAGTTGCTGTGTCTTCAGTCACTCGATCAGTGACAACATTGGTTGGACTGTCAATTTCTTCATAAAAATACACGAGAAAGAAAAATCAGAGAAACCAATTGGTTGGTCAAGATCATAGATTGTTAAAGATCTAGTTCACCTGGGTGACGTAGTTCAATGGTCTATGTAAGGCAAGGGGGTCTCTCCATCATCAGTGACAGGTGGACAACTGGCTTCTGCTTGAACCCTAAACTGAGAAAGGACTCTCCAACAGACAACACAATCCATTCCATTTTCCATTTTCAGACTACTAAACATATTAGAGAAAACTCCTTCAAATGTAACTCCTTCCAATTGTCTACCCTAGGTAGACAGACAGAATACATCTAATTCCCCTTCCAGGAGACCAAGTATTCAAGAAGAGTCATCATTCCCCTCCCTAGTTCTCCTCAAATCAAAACAACATCGCCTCCCCTATTCATTCCTTCCAATTATGGTTTCCAGACCTGGCACTTATATCTACACATGCTCCTCTCTCTCTTTTCGAATACAAATCTCCAAAACTCAGTTCATTCATTCAACAGCACTTCACTGAATATCCATTATGTGCCAGGGAATGTAACGACATTTAGGAGTTATCACTGAGCAAAACAGTCAGAAATCCCTGCCAATGTGGAGTTTATATTCAAAAAGAACTAACCCAGAACAATATGCCAGCTATGTCCTAGACTCTGCGCTTCCCAAGAACATATCCTTAGCCCACGACCTTAGAAAGTCCCTCATTTTTCCTTTTACACAAGTCCCTGCTAACCCAAGGTCCTGCTTCATGTATTTAGGAAACAGCAGGGATGCCAGTGCATCTAGACAGAATTAAGTCAAGTGGCTGGAAGGGAGGCCAGGAAAGTGAGAGGGACAGTGGACTATGGATGGCCTTGAAGGCCATTGTAATGACACTGTCTTTTACACTAAGTAACATAAGAAGTCTCTGGGGGCTTTGAAAAGAAGAATGACCTTATCTGACTTGAGCTATCAAAGGATCCCTCCGGCTTCTGGGGAGAATACTGACTCAAGTGAACCAAGAGTGAAGGTCACCTAGGAGGCTGCTTCAATGGTGTATATGCAAGATGGCAGGGGTGCAGGCAACTGCGGCAGTAATGAAGGTCATGGAGAAGGCTGGCTTTGGAGCTTTCAAAGGTAAAACTGTCATAATCTGCTGATAGATTCGATGTGGGATACAACGAATGATTTGTTGGCTTGTGGCCTGAGTAATTTGCAAAATGGGGTGGCCATTTATAGAGACATCTATATCTCTATATATATAGATATCTGAGGGATAGCTGAGGGAGGGAAGCATTTGCAGTAGGGAGTCGGGAGAGGAAGAGGACCAAGAGTTTGCTTTTGGATACATTAAGTGGTAGAGCCAAGATTTGAACTCATTCTTATCTAACAAAGACTGTACATTTCCACTTTTTACCTCTATGTCCTAAGCAGCACTATCAATAGCATTTTCCTTTGAAACTAATAATAATAATAAATCATAAATAAAGTAAAGTGTGAGCTGAAAAGTTACTGTGACCTGAAATCCAGCAGCAGTAATAGACAGGAACTAAAGAGAGAAACTGGTCTCGAACCATTGCCTTGTGAGACAATAGTCTCACTGTGACTGTGAGCTCGGAGCCAATAGTCTCACAATAGTCTGCCACTTGTGGGCCTCCAGGAATGACAGGGGGGACAATTAGGATGCAGGCATCCACCATCTGACCCCATGGCCAGGGCCTCTGGAGGCTCTAGCAGGCTCTAAGAGGACAGTCAAGGAAGAGAGTGCAATGATAGAGAGAACTCTCTCCGCATCCTGTTACAACTTTCGGTGCAAGATATGATCCTGCATGTCAAAGGGAAGAGATGACAAGAGCCATCCAAAACCAACATCTCAATCTGGGGAAATTAGTGACAAAGTGGAAATGGAAAACTAAGGGTGCAGGAAGAACATCCTAGCAGTCCTGCTCTTGAAGTTCATGGCCCTCTCCTTCTCAAAAGTGTCCACATCTGTACAACCCCATGTCCCAGCAGTGCCTCCCACCCCATCTCCCTGCCCCAGATCTGTGCTTGCTACTATTGTTTCTGGGACCCACAGCAGAGGTCTGTGGCTTTGTGGGGTTGGTGCTGCCTGTGTGTGTTGAAAGATATATCACAGCCAGGCACAACAGCTCATACCTGCAATTCCAGCACTTTGGGAGGTTGAGCTGGGTGGATCACTTGAGGCCAGGAGTTGGAGACAAGCCTGGCCAACATGGCAAAACCCTGTCTCTACTAAAAATACAAAAAACTAGCCAGGCAGGGTGGTGCACGCCTATAATCCTAGCTACTCAGGAGGCTGAGGCACCAGAATGGCTTGAACCTGGAAGGCAGAGGTTGCAGTGAGCCGAGATCACACACCACACTCTAGCCTAGGTGACATAGCAAGACTCGGTCTAAAAATAATAATAATAAATAAAAATAATAAATAAAAGTCAATAAATAAAGGAAAGATCCATCACGTCCATATGGGTGGAAAGAGGAAGCAGCAACCAGCCCTGTAGCTCCTTTCTACCCCACCAGTCCCAGAGTTCTCAAGGGATGGAGAAGAACCAGGAAACAGCATCTTGGGCATGAAGAGTAGGAAGGTAAAACTGAATCATATTATGCTTAGGGTTATAGGAGACCTGGAGGTTTAAGGAGGTTTAAGAGAGGAGATGTGACTTCTCCAAGCTCACAGTGCCAGTACAGCTCTCAGCCCCCTGCCTTCCCTTTTCTCTCAGGTCCCCAACCACAGCAACTCAACTGAGAGGGGGTCTTCACAGAGCTTGCTCTCCTTAACCATTCCAGTGATTGGGATCAGGTGCTGAGACACAGGAATGGGAGGAAGGCCTCAGAGATGGAACCCCCATGATAGGACAGATTGCTGGAAGAGGCCAGCTTTGCAGGATTGAAACCTCTCTCTACCAAAAAGGGATCTGGAGATTATGAAATAGCTTTTCCATGCAAGAAAGCCTTTCAGCAGCTGCAGCAGCTGGCCAAATCACAGATGAGCCATAGCTGTAGCCTCTACTACAAGACAAGCTCTCCCCACCACAGCCCAACATCCTCCCCAGGCTGTAACTTCCCAACTGCTGGACACCAGCAGCCCTGGTGGGACCTTTCTCAGGGCCATTCAAGGTCAGAGAGATGTAAGGTAAGGTTTATAAAATTGGATAGGTGGAACTCGCCTATGAATACATATGTTAGTTAGAATAAAGGTATACTTCACTTCAAAGAGATCTAATTTGCAAAACCTAAACACAGTATATGGAGGAGGTTAATTAGAAGCCCTTTTCACATCAGGAAAGCTTATTCCACTTTATAACATGATTCACTACAGGGTTGGGTAGGGAATGGCTGTCTTCAGTCTAGGCTGTAACATCCAACAGACCATGTCCACACTTGAGCACGTAGTCACAGGCATTAGGAACAGATTTCTCCACTCACAGTGGCCACCTGTGAATCTCCCAGTTGGTGCAGTAGAAGATGGCACTGACGGGATGTAAAATCTATGAGAAATGAGCCTGTGGGAGGAAGACGCAGGGGCAGGACCTGTGTCATTGATTTGAAGGTGGGTTCATGGAAGAGGTGCCTTGAGACCACAATACCTACAAGTTCTGCACTCTTGTTTACACATACCTCCTCTAATGTCTTTCCATTGTGGCAACCAAATTATCCAGAAGGCACCGTTTGTAGAAAATGCACTCAGAGACGGCAACCTTTCTTCCTGTTGTCCTCCAGCTTTTCTTCTAAAAACGTTATTGAGTTTGATTTCAAGTGAACCTGAGTTGTGCCAGCTAACCATTCACTAGCTCACCCTGAGTCTCCTAAACTTTGTAGGCCTCAATGTTCTCATATGTAAAATGGAAATAATAATGCTTGCAATCCTATTGATATTATAAGGGCCAGAGATCATATTTACAAAGTCTCACAGTGTACAGAAGCCCACTAGAATACAGTGTTCACGCAAATGATAGAGATTGTTGCTGTTGTCCAGATGCTGAATGTGTGTGTTGGTCGCTGTGTGTGAGACAGGAGTTCTGAATGGTGACAGGAGCTCAGCGTAGGACATGAAGGAGTTTCCAAAGTTTTAGGGGCTAAGCCATTTCAAACGGAACACTGTGTTTGGAAATCCATAAGAAGTGAAAAAGATATTAAGAAAAGCAAAACTGCTATTTCACAGCATAGTCTAAGGAGGAAAGTGCTGAGAAAATGGATGACAAGTGAATATTCTAGGCTATAAGCTCTGCTGTGCATGGGAGCCTGTGAAATTATAACAAAGCAAGCATGCTTTGTTTTATACACACCAGGGGAAAGCATGAAGCTATTAACAGAATACCATCATCATAAGAAAAGAGAAAGGACTTTAAACTCACTTAGTCCAATTCTTCATTTTACAGATAGAGGACAAAAGAATGACATCACCTCTCAGTTAGTAGCCTCCCTTTCTTCTCATTCGATGGGAAGCATAGCTGTCAGGATATGATGCAGAAGTCCAGGGACCTTCCCCCTCACAACCCCCCACAGACACCGGCCTGGCCTATGCTTGCTGTTCCTGAAGCTGACGTGCTTCTGAGGCCGGCCTTTCTGGAAGGTGTTCCAGCGCACTTTGAGTGTGTTGGGTTAACAGGGTGAGGAATTTCAGTCAACCATTTCCCTGTCATGGTATTAGTTACACTGGGTGCCTCATTAAATGAAAAATTCCTGAATTGTGTCGTTTCCTCCCTGCACATGCTTAGGCTGTTCTTAAGTTCCAGCATTCTTTTCCACCTGGTGGGATGCAAAACGTTTGGAGAAAACAGCGATTCTTCTTTTCCCTTAAATTACTTAACGGTCTAGCCAGGTTTAAGAGTGTTTCCTGACCCTGTAAATTACAGTGTCTTTTTCTTTTTTATGCTGGTAAAACACATGACACAAATTTATTTGCAATCCAATAAAATATTCTATCCCGGTTTTAGGATATAATTGACAATAAAAACACTTTTGAGTAGTAACATTCCAGTATACGTGAAAGGCTAACTAGCAATTCAAGGCCATATGTGATTAAATGCTCTCAGACCTCAGAGGCAAATCTGGCTGACATCTAATGAGGTCATAGAAGGCTGCAGTGGAGAAACTCAGCACAGCCTGGAACCTCACGTTATTGCTGTGATCCCCTGAAGGACAAGGACCATGGCTTGTCAGCTCTGGAAATTTCTAAAGGGACCAGGTCTCTTTGGCCCAGATACATCCTGCAATAAATGTTTGTTGAATTAAATTAATTTGTGGCTAGAAATAATAGCAAGGGTTTTCTAGGCTGAGTAACAACAGAAACCCACTTGCAGAGATAAGTCTTCTGTTAGGAAACCCCAAGAACAGTCTGGCTACAGGAAGGCTTTCCCTGGGGAAGCAATGAGAATAACAATGGCCCAGGCTGCACGGACCACGGAGGCCAAGATAAAAGCATTATGCTTCCTCCTCAGTCCGTGAGGAATCATAGAAAATTTTTCAGTTAGGAAGCAAACAGTATGAAAATTAACCAGAAATAATGGGCAAGAAGGATGAGAGGTGTGATATTACGATTTATAACAAGAAACACGTTTGGTCTTGGTTCCCTGATTTCTGGCACACAGCTCCTAAAAGCCTTGGAATCTCCAAACTGAGGTGTCTTTTGTATGTTAATGAGATGACTGCTGTAAGGGGTTGGAGGGTGCTCCTGGATAGCCTCAGAAAGGAGGTGGTTGCCAGGGAACCAACCTTGTGATTAGGGGATTGGAACTTCCAGCCCCACCTGCCCACCCTGCTAACAAGGGGGATGAGAGAGATACTCACAGTTGCTAAAGGTTGAGTTAATCACCAGTGGTCAATGATGTAATCAATCATTTCTATATAATGAGGTCTCCATGAAAACCCAAAAGGACTGGGTTCAGAGAGCATCCTGGTTGCTGAACATGTGGAGGTTTGGGGAGGGTGGCACACCCACAGAGGCCATGGAAGCACATACCTTGACCTATGCATCTCTTCCATCTGGTTCTTCACCTGGATCTTTGTAATATTCTTTATTATAATAAATAAGTAAATGTAAGTAAAGTGTTTCCCTGCATTCTATGAGCCGCTCTAGCAAATTAATGGAACCTAAGGAGGGGAGTCATAAAAACCCCCAATTGATAGCCAAATGGTCAGAAGTACAGGTCATAACCTGAGGACTGTGACAGGCATCTGAAGTGAGGAAAGTCTTGTGGTCTGGGCCCTTAACTTGTGGGATCTGATGCTATTTCCAGGGAGGAATGTCACATATGAATTGAATTATAGAACACCCAGTTGGTGTCTGATGGAAAACTCCCTGGTATATGGGGAAAAATCACTTCCAGAGGGGAAATGTTCTGTGTTGTGTTGACTGTGTAAGAGAAGAAAAAGTGTTTATCTCTTACAGGAGGGTAAAAGTGGGAAGCACTTTAGCTTTGTAATGTGAAAGGAAAATAAAAAACTCGGGACCCCAATTCACTCTGCCAAGAGGAAAAAATAAAGCTGAAAGCTGAGTTATGCAAGAAGCTGCCTTTCCTTTTGTTCCTACACAGGCTACAGATAAAAGGTTAAATATCTCCACACGTAGCTACTCCGTGTTCACCTTATCCTATGAAAAGTGCAAATTTACTCAACACATAATTGACTATCCCCCTACCTGCTGCTTTTCTCTTCCAACATGGGAATTAACATACCCTCCCTATTTCCTCTCCAGCCCACTTTTCCCATTTAAATATTGAAGCCCTCAAAATCATCTCTGGAGAAAGGTACAGACCACACATTGTTTCTGTGATTCCATGTTTCTTTCTCCCAGGCATGTCCTTAACCTTGGAAAAATAAACTTCTAAGTTGATTAAGGCCTATCTCAGATACTTTTTGGTTTATAGTAGCTAAGCCCAAAGGCTTACACTTGGGTATCCTGGGTTCAAATCCCAGCTCTGTCCTTTCCTGGCTGGGCAATCTTGAGCTTACCTTCTCCAGTTTTCTTATATATGGCAGAGAAATAATAATAGTATCTACTTCATTGGATTGCTGTGAGAACTAAATGAGATATTCATAAAAAGTGTGTAGTGATTATAATGCCTGGCACTCAGTAAGCTCTCAATTAATTCACAGCTACAGGGAATGCCACTGGAGGCACAGAAGTACTTACCATTTTCCAGCTCATTAAAATGGTTCACTAGTCCACTATTCAAGCAGACTGTACAGTCCACATTGTCTAGTTTGTAAATTAAGTTATATGTTCTCCATTATAATTGCCCAACTCTTTCATACTGCATATAAGCAATCTGTTAGGCAGCTGAAATAGTGAATTCAATTCTCACAGCATCTCACCCCTTATTCTCTCCACCATAACCAGCTATTTCCAGGACTGAATTGGAAAGAACTAAAAAACTTTTCAAGAAAGACTCAAAACTCAAAGACTCCTTCTTTACCAGCTCCAAGGATTGGTTTCCCCAAGTGGCACCATGTTCTAGATCACGGGTTTCCAGCATGGGGAAGGCAGGAGCACAGAGTTAATGAGGAAGTTCACAATTCAATATGGACTCAATTATTGTTTAAAAACTAAAAGTTACCTAGGATGTCTCATGTGTATGCCTACCATGTTTTCAAATTCTGTTCTGATTAATAAATTACAAACTTATTGTCAAATACAACTGATTTGTAACCTTTTATCACTATATATTTTCTGAATACACAGATGACAACATACCGCTATTCCCATGTGAGGGTTTTTAATATCTTTTGACATTTTAGAGGAGTCTACTAAGTGTGGTCATCAAGAAAAAACACACATGTGGCAAGAAGAAAATTATAGATCACTTGTTTTTAGGGAAAAAGGAGCTATGTGCCTATATCCTAGATAATAAATGCCTTAAAAACAATGCAGTGATAGAAGCTATTAAAATAAGCAGAAGGGTATCAGATACAGTCTTATCCTTTGACTCCAAGACCCTGGGAGAGATTTTCAATGGCAAGAAAAATTTGAAATATGAAAAGTGTGCTTCCTTTTCCCTGCCTAAAAATAGACATCAGTAATAAAGGGATAGACTCTCTCTACATGCAAATCCCAGAATTTTTTTTTTTTTTTTTTTTTTTGAGATGGAGTTTCACTCTTGTTGCCCAGGCTGGGGTGCAACGGCACAATCTCGGCTCACCATAACCTCCGCCTCCCAGGCTCAAGCAATTCTCCTGCCTCAGTCTCCAAGTAGCTGGGATTACAGGTATGCGCCACCACGCTCAACTAATTTTGTATTTTTAGCAGAGACAGGGTTTCTCCATGTTGGTCAGGCTGGTCTTGAACTCCCGATATCAGGTGATCCGCCCACCTTGGCCTCTCAAAGTACTGGGATTATAGACGTGAGCCACCCCGCCTGTCTGCAAATCCCAGAATTCTTATCCAGAGAGGAGTCAGCCAAGAAAAATGTGAGAATGCAAACATGATTAAACGTCCATAGTGCCTCCAAGTAGCTCTCACCTGTCCTGCCATTCAGGAGGATCGGCTTGCCCTCCAGCATTCCTCGCATGGGCACCACCGTGATCTTATATTCGGTCCCTGGGTGCAGACCTGGAAACAAGCAGGCAGTGCGAGACATGAGTGCAGGCTCCAGACCCCTCTCCCCAGCACGGCTCCTCCCCAGGATTTCTCCCATGAGGGAAGATGAGGGGTTTTGCTTCCTCCTCCAAAGACGAATCTGTATCTGCAGGCGGCAAATAAAGCCCCGCAGGAGCAGTGGAACATGAGGAGTCACTGAGGGGGCTTACTGGCTGGGGACAGGAGTAGGGCATCAGAGCAAATGAGAAGACGCCAATTGAAATGCATTTCAAACGCTCTCTGGTTCTTCACTGGGCCACCTAGCACTTATTTCCCAATTTTATTTATAGGTCCAAATGTGTTTCTGCTCCCAGCAACCCTTTTCCTTCCAAAGTATCTCTCCTTCTCAATGTAATATTTAGCCTAATTTTTTCTTATTTATTTATTAGAGACAGGGCCTCACTGTGTCACTCAGGCTAGAGTGCAGCGGTGCAAACACGGCTCATGGTAACCTCAACCTCCTAGGCTCAAGGGATCCTCCCACCTCAGCCTCTTAAGTAGCTGGGACCACAGGCATGAGCCACTATGCCCAGCCCTTTTTTAAAAAAAAAAAATTATTTCTCTGTAGAAGCAACTAGAATTATTGTTCCTTGGGCACAAATATTCAGACTCTAATGGTAAAATGCAGACAAACAGCAGCTTGTGTGAGGCACATACCCTCATTCTTCACTCCACAAACACTAAGAACCCCAAAATGTCCTGTCAACACAGAACTCAAGGAGTGGACGGCAGAACAAGGCTCCAGGAGGGAATTCACCATGAAGCTAATAAGCCCCACACTTTCACGGGTTATTCTAAGGCCTTGTGCCTGATTGGGTATTCATGATTGTGTATTACTTTTCTTAAAAAAGAGCCCTGGAATTGTACAAACTTCAGGCACTGCCAAACTTGATCCATCCCTGCAGCCTTGTCTCCTTAGCAGCCATTTGAGCTCCAGCTCTTGGCAGCATTAGCTCAGAAATCTGAAACAGGGAGCCATCCCTGCTCACTGCACCCTGCCCTCCTCCACGCCTTCCAACACAACCCTTCTGTGCATCATGCTCAACAAACCAATCTCAATCTGTCTCTCTCTCTCTCTCTCTCCCCTCCTGCCCCCAACACCCAAAAACACAAGTTCATCTAAAAGGAATATCTATACACCATCAAATCCACCCTGAGACACAGACAGGGTCTTCAAGAGAGTTTGCTGACTTGGAGAACATCTCACAAATATAATCTGTTAACAAGGTGCTCTGGGATCGAGTTCTGGAATGCTGGGACAGAGTCTACAGGCCTCCCGGGTGGCCTTACGTCTGACAGATTCAAGGATCGGATTCAAGTGTGATTCCTAAGGCCCCTGGACTCTCTGTGCACACTTGAGCAGTGCAGATGCCAGTGCTCTCTGCACACACTATCCCTACCTCTGCATCTACAGCAAACACCCCACGTTCCAGTGATGGCTCTTACCAGTGATGTCATATCGGCTCTTGGGGTCACTGCTCTTCGGCACAGTGACCTCAGTTATCTCCTGCCCTGTCATGGGGCCGTAACGCAGCTTGTAGTAGTCCACCTCGGTCGAGGGGTTTTCCCACTCCACGTCGAGGGAGTGCTCAGTCTCCTCTGTCACCCAGGCAGTGCCAAGCACAGCGAGGTCTAGGGCAGGGGTGAGGGAGGCAAGAGAAAGTGGTGAAGAGCAGAGGTTCTGAGATTCTGTGACAGGCTGGTTATCAAGTCAGCTCCCTTTCTTGACATCTCAAGAGCTGGCTTCAGTCCCAGGACACAGTTCTTAACAGGTGTCTTTGAGCTACCCAGCTGCTGTTTTTCACATATTCCACAGGCAGACTGTCTTTTGGGAAAGTCTCCACTTCCCCATCCCACCAGAGGCCATGTGGTCTTCCCTGTCCACACTGACTTTGGTCAAGCCCAGACTGTACCTCTCAGGCTGGCCACCCAAATCACTCAGTCCAGAGCTCAGACAGCTACAGCCCTGAACTAAAGGCCCACTCTTCAGCTGCAGAGCCCCTGCCCTCTAAGACGACCTCAGGATAAGAAGCTCAGGCACTTCCATGGAAAGTGGAGAGAATCCATTTCAAACTTTCTCGAGAACAACATTAATGATCCAACAAGCTCCTTCCTTCATCTCCCAAATTGCAGCCCTTGCCTCTCAGATTCTCCTCTAAGGATGAACCCTAGGCAAAACTATAAAGTAGGTGAATTTTAACTCGGTCCATCTGAGTGTCCTTCCTGCTCTTTCTATCAAATTTTAGCACTTCCATCAGGTACCTGGTATTCTCATGCTGCCCAATCTGTCTGTCCTGTGAAGGAAGAGAGTTATTGCATATATTTATTTATAGTGAGGTATTAACGGCTAAATGTTTACTCTTCTACTCAGAAAAAAAAAAAAACCATGAAATTACAGTGATTAATACAAAGGAATGGCTCACTGCTATGGCTCTAAGGGGAGAGCTTTCCTAGGGGATGGGAGGACTGGGGTCTTTGAGGAGCAGTTTGAATTCCAACAGCCATATCCCAGGCTGAGGGAGCCTGGCCTTCTAAGTTTGGAACAGGAAAGCCAAGGCCCCCCCAGTTCTCAGGCTTCCCCCCTTCATCAGTCACGCCCCCACTTTCACCTCCCTGGAGGTGTCTCCACCCAGGCCAACTGACGGATGATGCAGGACGGAGAATTAGTGCATCAGGCCAGGTGTGAACTCAGTGATCTCAAGGTCCCCGGGCTCTGAACATCCCCGATTCACTCAGTTATGGATAAAGAGCCTCACAGAGCCTTTTCTCTGAAGCTTTTCCTCTCACCCACGGGCTTCCATCTGCCAGGTGCTGTTTTTAGACTTCCATTAAAGATGGAATTCCCTGAAGGACAGGTCAAGAGGTGAGTAATAAACGTGACTTGAGGCTTATAGAAGAGTTCCTACATGGTATAAAAGAATTGGGAGGGAGTCACAAATGAAAAAGCAAGGACTTAATGAGAATGTTCCCGATTATGGTGGGGATGAATACCTCTTGTCTTAGGCTCCCCTGAGGAGCAAATAAGAATGTGTTTAAGCCGAATCAGATTAGAAGGTAAGAGAAACTTCACACTAGCAGAATTTTACAAATCCCGAGAGCAAGATGTCATGACGGGCTGCTAGGACTTTCAGAATAGGCATCTCTGTGCTGCACTGGGAGGCTTTGGACACAGTGCTAGCTGTACCAGAGGTAGCCATAGACAAAATGGGGAAGAAGAGAAAAGCAGAGTCTGCCAGCCACAGCGGGCCTGGCTCTCACAGTGAGGACTTGGTGTCTCCTATTGAACATAAACCATTTCACAGGACATCAATGTCAGGTCACTCTTGACCATGTAGATCAAGACAAAAGCAAGACCCTTCCATGATCAACTCTGAACACAGACAAAAACATGACCATTGTCCCAACCACACAAATAGCTAAACACCCACTCTCTTGACTACTATGAGTAATGACCACTTCTGTTACAATCACCAACTTTAGCCTCTCAGAGGGGAGAGGTTCTCCCCACTTCTTGACAGCACCCAATCCCTGCTTCCTTACACCTTCCCCCAAATTACATAACACAGGCCCAAATTCTCTAACCAGTCCTTTCTAACACTGTCTACTGAGACACCCCTATGGTCTCCCATAGTGTGCAGTCATCCATGCTAGAACAATCAAGACACCCAAGTTGTTTAACTACAGGGGTGCTCCTGGGGGTCTTTAGCTTGAGGGCACTGACAAAGGCAATCACATGTGGTGCCCTCATGATGACCAAGTCTCTCACAGTCCTTTCCAACACTGACCCATCCCCACCTTCACCCTAGTCCCACCGCCAAAAAGGACAGGTAGCTTGATGTCTCTGCAAAGACAACTGCATGCCAAAGTTCCATCCATCTGTATCTTCCCAGATCTTTCCCTAGAAGTTTAGGGCAGGATGGAGGCAATAAATTTTTATCAGTACCTAGAGCAGTGCTTGACAAATGGTAAGTGTTCAATAAACATGTACTGCGTGAAGGAATGATTCAGTCATTCAACCAACTACGTTTTTCCAAATCCTTGAAGATCTAAGCTGCTTTAAGAATGTTCACAAGGAAACAAGAATGTTTAAAGAGTAAGCAGTGATGCTTATCCTTCTAAACATTTTGGTGGCATTTGCTGGTGCACAGGAGGTTCCGTTTCTCCATATCAAGCCTCCACCATCCTCCATCTTGTTCTGTACCCCAGGCTATGATCTCTGTGAATTGAGTCAGCCATTTTCCCTGACCCTCTGGCTTCCAGGTTCAGCTAGCAGGAATCATCAGCAGATCAGAGGGCAGAAGACAGAATTCTGTGGAGACACGGTGGATTGCCTGCATCCCTCTACCAAAACAATCCCACCAGGCAGCTCTTTTCCACAGTTCTCTCTGGGTCCAAGTACCAACGTCTATCCCTTGCCCCTTCAGGCAGGAGTGTATCCTTATTGATGCAGGTCTTTGTGTTTCACTATCCAACCCCCACCCACACTTATGTGAACAACCTGTTGATTAAACTTTGAAATTTATTACCCCATTCGTGTCATGTCTTTCCCACCGAGATGAATCTAACTGATACAGGTGGCTTCAGCAGCCTCTCACCCATACCGACTTGAACTTTCTGAATGGCTTTGGGGGTTCAGTGAGGGACTGGGGATGCAGGTCTACCCTGACTGCTTATGAGAAGGTGCAGACCCTACTAATCTCAGGGACAGAGAAGACCCCATGAGCCCCCATCTAGCAGGTCTTCATGGGCTTAGAGGACCCAGTAATCAGGGAGCAAGGAAAGAAGAGAGAGAACTGGGACTCTTCAGAACCTAGGATTGTGGCAGCTGTGTTTTTCAAACTCCAAGTCAAGGCAACTGCCTGACGGGTATTTGTGGGAATAATGAAAGAAAACATTTAGAATGGGGCCTCTCCTGGGAACCCTGGGGCATCAGGTGGCTTCCTCACCCGTGGTGGCAAGTAGATGCTGTGGGCTGCTAAAAATGTCTTTCTTGACGTTACGCAGGGTGACTATGTATTTGGTTCCAGGCAGCAAACCGAGAATCTCGTAGCTGTGCTGCTCCTTGGGCACTCGGATCTGCTTCCCAGACAGCTCCTTCCCCAGGGGGTAGTAGTTGAGGAAATAGTGATCCACCTGGCTGGAGGGCTCCCAGCTCACCAGCAGAGAATCCTCCGTGCTCTTGAGCAGCTGCAGGCCCTGTGGGGCGACCACTGCAGGCAGAACAGGAACAGGGAAGAGAGGGTAAGCAAGGGAGGCAATCCAGACCCAGTGAGTATTCCCTGAGCACTATAAGGGTGGGTGTGCAGGATGCAGACCTGTGTAAGGCGCCATTCCCAACCCCCAGAAGTTATTAGCTGAACGACAGGTAATGAACACTAACCCCCTCACCACACGCACACACTCACACACAGCCATTAGATCACAAGACCAGCGGTCCTCAAGGTTAGGGCCTCAAACCAGCAGCATCAGCATCACCCGGGAACTTGTTAGAAATGCAAATTCTTAGGCCCCATCGCAGAATCAGAAACTCTGGGATTGGGACTCACTAATCTGGACAGGCTAAAGGAAGACACCCCCAAAGGGAACAACGTGTAATTGACAGTTAAATAGTGCATTGGAAAGAAGAGTCCGGCGGCCCGAGGGCACATCTCCGCTCTCACCCTGGGCACAGTCCAGGCCTGTGAAGCCCTCCTCGCAGTAGCACTCGCCCGTGTCGCAGAAGCCGTGGCCGCTGCAGTCGCCGGGACAGCGTCGCTCGCTGCAGTCCTCAGATGTGAAGTCTTCGTGGCACTGGCACACGCCGCGCACGCACTCGCCGTGCCCGCTGCAGTTCTCAGGGCAGGCCGGGTAGCCGCAGTCGGCACCCACGTAGGGTTCATGGCACAGGCAGCGCCCGTCCACGCAACGCCCGTGGCCGCTGCACGCCCCGGGGCAAGCCAGCTGCTCGCAGGCGGGGCCCTCCCTGCCCTCCTCGCAGTGGCAGCTGCAGGTCTCCAGGGAGAAGGTCCCGTGGCCGCTGCAGCGGCGGCTCACATCTGGGAGGGAGAGGTAAAACAGTAGGCTGGGTTGAAGGGTTGTGCGAGGGGATCTCCTTCCTTTGAGATCAGCCGTGCAAAACCCAGAAATCACTAGCTCCACTCTTAAGGGTCTGGTGATTTCCGGGTCTTGCACGGCTCTTTTTTGGAGGACGGCAGAGCTCCACAAGGGAGAAAAGGTGTTGACCCTTTCCAGCCTGGGCCAGGCTTTCTAATCTGTGACATCTGCAAACGTCTCCTCCTTTCTCTGCCTGAAAAGGCTGCAGGACCCACCCTTCTTTCCTTTTCCTTCCCATGTGAATTCCCCCTGTTCCTTCCTCTCTACATGGTGGTCATTATTTAGTGCCTTCCTATGGAGGGGCCTTAAATGCTCCACCCTGGCCAGCTGTCACTGCCAGGCAGGACTCCTGGCGGGAAAGTGAGATCCAGGCAGGTTGGAGTTTGCTGGAACTAGCAAGGCTGGGACCTTGTGAAATGAGTCCAGATTAAAGCCTGGAAAAACGAAACTGCAGAAGCCACAAAAGAGCCTACTCTCAACTATGGGTACTGTGGAGAAGGGAATTAACCAGGCTCCCCTCTCTGACCCTACACAGCAAGAGGCAGCTGGAGGGCGGACCGGTCAGTGCAATCTCCTCTGTGGCCCACCTTCTGCTTCTCAGAACACCTTCTCTCCTTCCTAAAAACGCTTCCAAAGTGGGGGCTCCTCAGAGGCAAGTCCATGCTGGTTATTCATGGCAGTGTCCCTGGTGCCGAGTTCTGTATCTGGATCTGAAGGTTAAGGTGCTCTTAACCGTAGCAATTCCTTCAGGCATGAAATCCTGTGCCAAAGTACTGTTCATTATCATTGGATCAGCCTGGGCAGTTTATGTTTAAAAGTGACGGGGGATGGGTCGGGGGAGAACCTTCATTATTTGTAAAATTAAATTGTAATTATTTTACAACTGTAATTGTAATTATTTACTAATAAGATAATTATAATTTACTGATTTGTAAATTCCACTAAGGACCAGGAATCTTCTATGCATCATCTCTAGTTCTCAGAACTATACTAGTTGATAGAATTATCCTTGTTGGACAGTTGAGGAAACGTAAGGGATTTGCCCAAAGGCACATAGCTAAAAAGTGGTAGAACTGGGATTTGTAAACTGTCCTGTCTAGCTCCAAGGCCGTATCTTTCCTGTGTATGTCATCGCTTCCTCTCTGAATAGAGCTTTGATTCACAGGCATGACAGCCCCTAGAAGCATTCCCATCTGGAAGCAATAGGCCAGGAGTCTAGACTCTCTGCAAGAGATGCTGGTCCCTCCCTGCTCAGCTTCCAGATGCTCCCTGGAGCTAGTACCAGTGAATAAATGAATAAATAGTAGGGATGGGCCCCCTAGAGAAAACCTAGAATGAGAAGTAGGAGCACGCCAGAGTCACAAAGTGCTCATGAGGCTAGTGGAGCCCCTGGCACATAATAGGTACTCATCAAATGTTTGTTGAATGAATACCAGGTGGTGAGCTCACCAGTAGCTCCCTGGCAGCAGCGCTGGGCACTACACTGTTCCTTCATCTCCACCATCTCTTCCTCCAGCTTTTTCACCCGGGCCAGGAGGTCCTGGACACTGCCTGCCAACTCGCAGTCCTTCTGTGGCGTCTGAAGGTGGATGTTGTGCCTGAAGACGATGTTCTGTTCCTCCCCGGCCTCACCCAGGGCCAAGAGCGAAGCCCCATCGTCACTGAGGGGCTGAGGGTCAGCCTTCACCTGAACCAAGGCAGACTTAGGCACATCGATCTTGTAGGTGTGGCTGACAGTGACCTGTTGCTCCTTGTTGCTGCAGCTGGGAGGCTCCAGAGTGGCTGGGGCCGAAGCCACCAGGAGCACAGAGCCAAGCAGGAGCCCCAAGGGGAAGCGGAACATCTCCTGGAGACTCATCCTTGGAAAGACAGGGAGCAGACCCTCCAGGATGCCTGTATTTAGAAACATTGCAAAAGAAAGCCATGGAGATGTGCTGAGGGAAGCTGGCTTTTTTACCAGATTCTAAGAGCCCACAGGAAGCTGAGAAACCAGCAGAAAGATCTCATTCTATTTCTCTCAAGGATCTGAACCAAATTACTTTCTGTTCCTGCCTCACAGATTGCATATTCCTGCCTCCTGTCTTTGCTTACTGTTCACACTGCCCAGGATGCCCTTCTCTTCACCTCTCATTCTAGGCTCACCTGCACTTACTAATAATAAGAAAAGCAGCTCTCTTATGTTGACAGCCTATTGTGTGTCACGCTTTGATCCCCCTAATTCTGGATCTTTACAGCAACCCTAATATTATCCTCCCTCTTAACAACATCAACAATAAGAGCTGCACATAGAGCACTTGCTGTGTGATAGGCACTATTCTAAATGTTCTAAGTGTTTCACATTTATTAACTCATTCCATTCTCACAATTGTTTGTGGAATATACTATGATTACCCCCATCTTATAGATATGGAAACGGAAGCACTACTACTTTAAATGACTTGCCAACCAGGATTTGGACCCAGGCAATCTGACCCCCGAGTCCACACTCATCCCCACAATGCCATGCTGCTTTGCACAGATGAGGAAGCTGAGCAAGTTGTCCTGAGTCCCACAGCCAGGAAGAGCAGAACCTGTACTCAGACTCAAGTCTGTTGACTGCAGGGCCAGCGTCCTGCTCATGACACCCACTTGTGTACCAGTAAAATATAAGAATTTCTAATAAAATTACCTGCTCCACAAAGTCTTCTCTCCTGACCCCCTGCCTCATCCAGCTAGAGACTAGCCTCACTTCTGCTAAGCATTCAGAGAAATGGACCTGTCCCTCACTGCTGGTCTCTTGAGTGTTGACCTGGTATTACAGTTACTCTTGTATGCAGCTTGTCTCCCCACTAGGCTGTGAGCCTGTTAAGGACAGGACTGATTCATCTTGGGGCCCTCCTGGGGCAGGAGCACAGTCACACATGCTGAGAAATTTGGTCACTGTTTCTCAAATCTATCCGTGCATGGGTGGCCCAATTTGTCAGTCAGGCAGATGACCTGAGATGGGGCCGGCGGTTAGGTTTTGCCTCCTCCCTCACCAGAAGGTGGTGTCTTCACCACTGTCAACGAGCAGAATAACTCCTCTCTCCAGCCATTTCCCCTTGCGCCCCCAACCCCCATCTGGGATGGCCCATTCTTTGCACACTAACAAGTTGAGGCAGGACAGACCACAAGAGACCCCGCTTTCACCTCACTTTGTGCACAGGAACCTCAGTCACAAGACACATCCCAGTTGGGCTTGCGTAGCAGCAGTTATCTAGAAACTGATCTGCAGAGCTGTCTCTTGACAATGGGTTTCTGTAACCAACCTAAGACCTGCAATCATTTATGCCAAAGTTTGAAGTCAGGAAACACAGTCCTTTCCTGTGGTCTGTGTTTTGCTTGAGCCCAGGCTCTCCCTGCCTGTGGTGAGAGGCAGTTGGATATGGTGGAAAGGCACCTCAGACAGGCTCTAGGATGTGCATCTCTAAAAGTGCTCCTCAACCTGAGCCTCCGCCTCCTTGTCTGTAACATGGGAATGACAGCGCGTCACCCCTCTTGGATGTGGACAGCAGTGAGCACCATGTCTGGCATGTGAGCAGGGCTCAGTCAATATTTTGAGATTTATTTTGTTTTCAATCAAGTACTGAATGTGACTTCCTTTTCTTCCTTATGTTTTTTACTATAAAGAATAATGCCAGCCAGGCACGGTGGTTCACGCCTATAATCCCAACACTTTGGGAGGCCAAGGTGGGCAGATCATTTGAGGCCAGGAGTTCAAGTCCAGCCTGGCCAACATGGTGAAACTCTTTCTCTGCTAAAAACACAAAAATTAGCCAGATGCAGTGGTGCACTCCTGTAATCCCAGCTTCTCAGGAGGCTGAGATAGAGAATCGCTTGAACCCGGGAGGCGGAGGCTGCAGTGAGACAAGATCGTGCCACTACACTCCAGCCTGGGTGACAAAGCAAGACTCGATCTCAAATAATAATAATAATGATACTAATATGCCTAGGTTGAAAGGCATCTTTCAACTATATTGATCATAAAAGGAAGAAATATTTCTAGCCACTAAGCCAAATTCTGGTAATATGTAAAATGTTTTACTTTTAATAGTCATAATTCATTTAGTATCAGGAAGTTGAGGAAACAGGGGATGAAGAGCCCTGGGAGAATAAAAGAAGAAGAATCTCAATAGTATTAGATGCTAAATGTTATTTATTGAGTTGCTGCTACGCGCTAGGCATTGGCTAGGTGCATTAATCCGTGTAATTAATCCCCAGAGCTGCCATGTAAGCTCAGTGTTCCTCTCCTCACTCAAAAGGTAAGGAAACCAGATCTGAGAGGTAAAGTCATTTGCCAGTGGTTGTCCAACTAAAAGTGGCAGAGCCAGGATTCAAACGCAGACCCATCTGATTGCAAGCCTATGCTTGCTCTGCGTCGGTATGACATTCTGATACAAATGACAAAAGAGAGCAGTTAGATACATGTCCCTATGCAATGCTTTCATCCGTTATACATGTTGTACCCAAGGGATGTGCCACCACTGTGAATTAAACAGAATGGTACCTATGAAGAGTTTTTCTTTGTGTTACCCCTTTGCCCTCCCACTCCTTCGTGGTTCTTCCTATCACCAAAAGCATGTATTGTTGATAATAATAAGAGCTCACTTCTTCTGAGCACTGAGTGCATTTCAGGCACTGGACTCAACACCCAGCAGATGGAATGAAATAGTCAATGGGACACTTCTTGCTCTCTTGCAACTTGGACCATGGGTAATAAGTGCCTGCACATTTCTTTTCTTTTCTCTTTTTTTTTTTTTTGAGACAGGGTCCCACATTCTGTCGCCCAAGCTGGAGTGCATTGGTGCAATTATGGCTCACTGCAACATCCACCTCCTGGGCTCCAGTGATCCTCCCACCTCAGCCTCCTGAGTAGCCGGGACTACAGGTATATGTCACCGTGCCTGGCTAATTTTTGTGTTTTTTGTAGAGATAGGGTTTCACCATGTTGCCCAACCTGGTCTCGAACTCCTGGGCTCAAGTAGTCGGTCCACCTCAGCTCCCCAAAGTGCTAGGATCATAGCCGTGAGCCACCGCACCTGGCCGTGCCCACACATTTCAAAGAGAGTGTGCTACTGGAGGTTTGGGGGTTGGGGGTGAGGTCAGGGTGAATAAGTCGGAGTGGCAGGCAAAGAGACCAGAGCCTGATTCTGGCCCAGAGGAATTCACAGAGGGAAGCTTGGCTGGAACAGGCTGCATGGCAAACAGAGGAAGGGGGCTGCAGTGTGAGAGGCCTGAAACTCAGACTTTGGCAAGGCCAAGTTGATGTCACAGAAATGAGGCATGTTAGAGCTGCCAAGAGGGTGGTTGAGGGCCCGAGCTGAGGTGCATGTCCACCGTTCAGCAGGAGTGTGCCACCCCAAGGGGGCGACTGCAGGAGGACATGCTCAGTGGGTGGGAAGGGGAATATCTAAAGATCCCACAGAAGCTCCCCAGAAAGGAGGGGTGGCCCAGCACTGGGAGCATTCACCATAACAAGGGCATCCAATGGAGGGAACCACAACAGCCCCAGTAAAGTAAAAATGCCCTCTTCTTCTTTTCTAATCCCCACCTCGCCCCAGGCAGCAGCAACCTGGTGAAGCCAGAAGCAGCCATGCATGTCAGGAAGGGAGAAATGGAGGGAGGAAAGCACCAAGCCCCTTCCCTCCAGCTTCTCTGCAGGTTCCAGCATCAGGTCTGAGCTGAGAAAGAAGAAAAGATGTGACCTGGATGACAGACTGAGGCTCAATACCGAAATGGACTTGCCTTCACAAAAGCAATTCTCTTCTAAGATGAAAAGCTACGAGAAAAGCTCTGGAAGCTGCTTGAGATTTGTGTCAGAGAATGGAGGGAGTGGGAAGCCAGGAGAATGAATTGGAAGGCAGGTGTAGGATAAAAATAATGATATTTCACAATGACCATCCTTAAACGTTCATTGCAAAGATAAAAGCCACACACTTTTCTCCACTTGATCCCCAGGATAGGAACTGAGGCTCAGTGGCATCGAGCAACATGTCCTGATTATGCAATTGATGAGCACACGGCCACAGATGCAACCCCAGGTGCACAGTTTCCAGCAATGGAGCCATTAACCCCTGTGTACTTCTGCCGTTCCCCAGTAACAATTCATATTGATCTCTGAAGCACCTACTGTGTTCATGGCAGCATATGAGTTTCCACTATCCAAAAATCTTCTTCCTGGGCAAAAATAGGGCTGAAAAAGCAGACTTCCCTGCCCATGCTTTCCATCCCACCCCCCACCCCCAGCCTGAGACATAAATGGAGTGCAGATGGTTTTCTGAAGAAGTTCTCAACGAACACACACACAAAAAAAGCCATGGACTCTTGCCATAAACCACAGAAAGGCTGCCCAGAGCCCAGGTCTACAGCATTTGTTTTTGTAGCCTGGAATATGAGAAACCCCAGAAGTCCCTGTTGGAGCCCTTGGTGTTGCCTGTCCTTCTGATTTGTAACAAGATGTCCTCATTAATTACTGCCTCTCAGATTCCAAAAGTTGCACTCAGATTTTCCTGGGTAGGTTGATTGTTCGAAAGAAGATGAGAGCAAGGGAAATCCTCAACCTAACACTCTGTCAAGTGTAATGAGAAAGAAGAGAAGCCTGCTGGCTCTCACTTCAACACGTGGCAGGAGAGAGACTCCTTGTTTAATAGCAGAAGGGAAGGATGACTTCATCAACTCTTTCAGTATGCACAGCAAACCACAGGCTGAGCTCCGCGACGGTGGGGAGGGGGCAGAGAGGGCAGAAGATTTTTGTGAGCAAAACGCAGGATGATACATTTCCAAATAGGGAGGATTATTCTACTGAGGGTTATTTTCCCATGGAAAGTTGGGTAAATTCTTCAGGGATGCATGAAGCAAAGGGCATTTACATGCAGGAAACGTGTATGTAGGAACCACAGAAAACCAGTTGTCCCCAAGAATCACTGTCTTACAGAGGCTAGTCATGTCTTTAATTCTAACTGCAGGAGAGGTGTTGGGTGGTGTGGGAAGCTGGGAGGGAGGGATACATTAGACTCAGGAACAAATGCTTTGTTGTATTGCTTTTACCAGAAAGGCTCTTTGAGGGGTACACGTCTGACCACAGATGGTCCCCCTACTTCTGCCTTCAGATGTTGCAGGGCTTTATGCTTCTGCTGTGTTCTCTCTTGGTATCTGCATCTACCCCTGTGGCTTTAATTTCCAGCCAAATATTGACAGCCATCAAATCTGTATGCATGTTCCTAGCCCAGGCATCCTCGTGAGCTCAGAGATGACAGAGATGGCCGTGACTGTGTTGATCCCCTCTGTATCACCAGCCTCATAGCACAGTCCTGTCAAAGTAATATTTTGTGAAGTAAATAGTAATAGCCACTGGATTTGTGTGTGTGTGTGTGTGCTTATTAGATAATGGACATTGTGCCAAATGCTATAAAAATTATCCTCATTTAATCCTCAAAATCCTGGGAGTCAGTTGATATCATTCTTTGTGACAGGTCCTCAGAGAAGTTAAGTAATTTGCCAAAGGACACACAGCTAAAAAGCAGCAGAGCTGGGATCATACACCAGGTCTGTCCACTACCCACATCTGTGTTCTTTATCTCTCTGTTATATGTCCTGTATATATAAAAAACAAAACAAATAAACAACAACAAAAAAAACACCAAATGTCCTCCGTTCTGCCACGTGTTTTTAAGAGAGGGTTTTTTTTTTTTTTTTCTGAAAATAAAAGAAACCCAAGGTATAAATTGGGTTTTCGGTTAAAACTTAATAAATCGATAACTAAATCCTGTGCCTGTACTTCCTCTGAGTGGTGCCAAGGATGATCCACTGGGAACATGAATTGCATTTCCCTCACATGGAGGTTAAGTCCCAGTCACTTCTCATGAAAAGCTGGAGAATTCCCTTCCTAGGAAACACCAAAGTGCACAGAGACTTCTGTCTGCAGGGGCAGATGGCATCTAAGCCTTGGCCAAAGGAGGAGGATGGCCCCTGAATCCTGATGGTCCTCTCGGACCCCAGGGGTGGATGGTCTCTGTGTCACCTCATTTTCCCCAAAGAAGGACACACACCCTGGGTCAGGAAAAAAAATTACTACTTACGCCAAAGAAGAGAGGTAGCCAATTTCTAGCCACTGTTACAGACCTTTATACTTAAATTCAGGGCTTTCTCTGTTTCCCTTATTATCTCATCCTGCCTTGACAGTTAACCACAAGAAAATGAAAGCACTGCTTCGGGTTTTAGAAAGAGTGTATCATCGTGGATTTCCAGCAGAGTCACTTAAGAAGATATTCTGTCCCCAGATGACAGGGTAGATATCATTAAACTATGAAGGAAAATGAGGGAGATGAGTGGCTAGGGATGCATCAATGTCACAAACACGGGCAAACTTGTCACTGCTTTCTTAACTCTCTTAGGCATATTTTGCTAATGATCTTCAGCTTGGGCCCTGGGTGACTCAGGGGTCTTCCCTGTACTTCCAAGTAACCTGGTCCAGGACAGCAAGTTCTCAGCTGGCTGAGGAATCTACCCTGGTTCAACTCACCATGAACTGGAGGCGTAGGCAACAGATTTCACCTCTGTATCTCTTTCTCCTTCAGATCCAAGAACATGCATATACAAGGGAGGTCTGTCTCTCCTAGGTTAAACTCCAGGGGAAGCAAGCACATACAAATGTTTTTATTTCTAGTCTCTGTGACGTTGAACTCTGTGCAAGCATTGCATGTAGGATATAAGACAGCTAGGTGTGGACAAGAACGGAAATTTGGTTTTATGTGATAGGGCTTAGTACGGTCACATTCTGGGCATCACTCTCTCCCCCCATTCTCCTAGTTCCGTGGGACACCCAGAGAGTGCCCAGGAAGTCCTTAGAGATGACTCTTACACCAGCGTGCTAGAACCCTTTTCCTGGAGAGACATCCCATCAAGTCTGCCCACCCACCTGAGGCTTGAAAAGATCAAGGATGGTGTCCTGACCCAGCCTCAGCACTCAATCACTTTTTCAGGGGTGGCCACAGGCTCATTTTGTTTTCTTTTGACAACTGACTCTTAATCTGCCTTGTAAATGCTTAAATGGGTGATGATAATGGTAGCTACCATTTTCTATGCATTTATTACATGCCAGGCTCTGGGCAAAACACTTTAAAATCTCCTCTTAAACATCAGGCAAAGATGTTCACTTACCCCAAGAGGATGAATCACTTTTTCACAGCAAGAACTTCCTTTAGCTTTTGTGGGACCAACCTCGTGCACAATAACAAGATAAAATAGACCCAGGACCTAAATTCAGGAACCTTCCTCTCCCATATTCAACCAAACAGCCAGTTTCCAGAATGACTAAGTATTACTTTGTATACAATTAGCCCTAATATCCGTGGGTGTGAGAGGCATCAGATTGAAACAAAACAAAACACAAACTCTGCAATTTCTTTCTTTAGCTAATGTGTTTTTTCCCACATATTGAAGTAACTTTAAAGTTCCAGCCTTCTAGCAAGGCGGAGAGTGTTTGCTAATTTCCAAGCATTTGCACTGTTCCACTCACACAGGCTGGGTACAGATTCAAACGGTGGCTGGGCAGCATTAGCAGTGAGTACACTGTGTCAGAAACAGCAAAGTCCCTGTCCATCCAGGGATCAGGCCTCAGATCTTAGCATCCTCAGCTCACAGACTGGTGGCTCCAGATGCTGCTACAGGACCTAAACCATGATCTCATGTCTGTATCCAGATCCTATAGGAGCCAAGGCTCTGGAATGAGCAGTGAATGGACAAAAGTTTCCACTGGGCCTGGGCACAATTTATTCAGGCATCTTCTCAGAAACAGAGCTCTGCCCACCCTACATTTCAAACCACAGAGCAGCACTGGACTGGAAAACCAGAAGCCACGGGATGATTTGAAATCATTTGTTCTATTTTCCCGCCTTCGGGAGTCAGCCGCAGCCTACAAATTGGGGACAAAGCAGTACTTAGAGTTGTATGAAAGAATGCCAGGTGCCTTCTTTCCTTCTCTCCGGGAAAAACGATCCCAGTATTGACACTCTATTTTTTCCTGTGTCTGACACTGTCACCTTGATTCTGAGTCTGCAACAAATGTTCCAATGTCAAGAGGCCAGCTGTCAATATGTAGCCCTGACCAAGCAAGGTACCATCTGATGCCTTGGTGACACCTCAGCTTTTCCAAGAACCAGTGGATTTTAAGCACTATGGCTAATCTGTGTCCAGATGTGGGTAGTTTGTTAGTTTTATGTTAGAACTTGTTCTTTTCTTTTAATGCTTATATAAGCAACACAGGTTTCATGCTTTTAAGTGAAACCCTGCCTGTTCTCATTCATTCTTTCTCCATCCTTCCCCCAGATCTCTCCCAAGCACAAAAATTAATCAATAAGTAAAAAGTAAGACCTCCAAAAAGTAGCGTGGTTTTTTGTTTGTTTGTTTTGTTTTGTTTTGTTTTGTGACAGAGTTTTGCTCTTGTTGCCCAGGCTGGAGTGCAATGGTTCGATCTCGGCTCACCGCAACCTCCGCCTCCCGGGTTCAAGCAATTCTCCTGCCTCAGCCTCCCGAGTAGGTGGGATTACAGGCATGCGCCATCACTCCTGGCTAATATTTTGTATTTTTAGTAGAGATGGGGTTTCTCCATGTTGGTCAGACTGGTCTCAAAATCTCAGCCTCAGGTGATCTGCCCACCTCGGCCTCCCAAAGTTCTGGGATTACAGGCGTGAGCCACCGTGCCTGGCCAAGTTTTTGAGATATCTTGAAATGTTTTCTTTGAGGTATTGTGAGGGTAATAGTATGGGGATTTGGAGAGAAGTTGTCGTCTAAACAAATAATAATTAAAACCTGTAAAATTAAACGTCTGGATATACTTCAAAACTGTTCAAATGTGTTTGCAAACATCCCCTTAACTGATTCACACAAAATCCAGAAAACGGGAAAGTTATCCTAGCTTCCTAATCCTAACTAAAATAACCATTCTGTTTCAGGATTTAAAAGAATAATGAGATAGAACAAATACAAATTATCCAAAAAGAGAGAGAAAAAGAAAGTTTTGACATTGTAAATAAGTTAAAAAGAAAAAAAGATGAAAAGGAACATTTTAAGGAAACATTTTATACAAAAATGTGTTACTCCAGGTAGAAACTGATACAACACAGACTGCATCTGGCCAGGAAAGAAGATAACTATGCTTAGCCCTGTCTGAGATTGGAGTATAATACTAAGGACGCAGCACATGGGTACTGAGAAGTACCTCCCAATTCATTTTAACTGTTTGTGCAGTTGATAAGAGACTAATTACACTGCCCAGATTTTCAGCCTCGGGAACGGAGGCACCTGAGCCACCACTTTTGAGCTCATCCACATTGGCCACCTTCCTCCCTCCAGTAAGTAAAGCTTGGGCAACTGGCACTCTTACCTGGGAGGCTGCTGGGTGCCTGCCTCTTCCAACACTGCTGCTCCTGTGAGCCGGTCTCTTCCTGCCGCAGACCTTGGTACTTGCTGGTCGTCCCTCGTTCTCGTCTCTCCTTGGCTTCCCTCCCTGGGTTTAAATCCTGTCTAGGCCAGAGGAGGAGCAAACGGAGACTCCTGGTGTTTTCCTCCCTTCCCAGCAGGAACTCTGCTAAAAGATATGAGCAATTCCTTCTCTTATTCTAACTAGGAAAGAAAAATATATACATTTCCTTCTTCTTTTTCACTTTGATTACACAGCAGCTAAAAATACTGGAGGCTGTTTCCATTTAAGTGAATCCAGAATAAGGATATTAAAAGAGTTTGCCGTCTCCTGGCCAGGAGCTGGGTCTCGGGGTTCAAAAGTGCATTTATAAAGTTTCTCTTTTTCTTGTTTCAGGCATTCCGGGACTTATTGCCTACTGCTTTTAAAATGGGAAAAAGTCTTTAGCACAGAAAGAAATGAGCAGAGACCCTCAGGGACAGAAGCTCTTCTGACTTCCCTCCTCCTTCATCCATCGTCTCACACTTGTGAGTGGCAGGGCTCTGAAGTGGGGGCAGGAATAGCAGACTGGGGACATTCGGTCCCACAAGTCCACTCCGACCCTCACCCCATCCCAAATGCCTCCCACATGCCAACAGCACAAGAGTTCCAAAACCAGGAAAGAATAGTCGTGCCCCTTTCTGGCTGCCCTTCCTCTTTTGCCCTCAGATGAACAGGCCTTCATCCTTCCAATGAGCCAGAGTCATTTCAATAGGGCATGGGCTGACACCTGCTGCCCTTCCTCATACCCCATCCCTCTCCTGCTCTGTGGGAAGTAGATTCTGGAGTGCAGATCCACAACAACATGAAGGAGACCATATGTCTCCAGTTCACCTATGTCAGCATCAAATGCTGCTGGAGGGAAAGGAGAAGGAGAGACGATGGACCAAAAAGTGGCCCCCAGAAATTGGAGGGGGTGCCCCGAGGCAGCTTGCCTGTATCTGAAGCTTGTGTCTGCTACTTGCAAATGACCTTTGACAACTTCTTTGTGGCTCAGCTTACTCATCTGTAAAATAGGAAGAGTGTCTTATGGTTATTGTGAGGTTCAAATGAGTAGATGGGATAAAGAACTTAAATTAGTCCCAAGACACAGTGAGGACTCGGTAAAGATTACCTGCTACCATGATTATTGTAATTTTTAAATTCTCCTTATGTATCCCACTAAATCATATTTGATCATCTTCACCTCAGTCCAGGTGGGTTCATAGTTCTCTGCCCTTCACTTACAATCATAAATAGTTCTGATATCTGGCCCTGGAATCCAGGCCAGCCATACACAGAGGTGACCAGTGGGGTATGAACCAAGGTCACCAGAAAATTCCCCAACTCCCAAACATCTCTTTTCTCCCTTGGACTTTTTTCTCTGCTCCTTAAAAGGGAAAATCTCTCCTAGAGGATCCTAAGACTCTATTGCACCCTCAAATTGCTCTCCTATTCTTAATTTCCTTTCACCAATTCTTCCCAAATGAGTGGTCTTCACCAACTCTCTCCATGACCCCATTTTCCATGCCCTCAATAGGAATAACTAAACCAGTGCACCACGCTCCTAAGAAGCCACCTTCTTCTAGCCTCTCCTTATTACAGCCGGTATTAGTTAGTTGCCTGTATTAGTTAGGACATGGAGCTATAGCAAAGAGATGCTCCAGTGCAGTGGCTTAACAACATAGATGATTTCTCTCACATAACAGTAGAAGACAGTGGTCCAGGGCTGGTAGGGAAGTACTGCCATCCACAGCACACACCCACCACACTCTAGGGCCATCATCTCTCAGCCAATAGGAAGGGCAAGAGGATGAAGGCAGATGGAAGTGCACGCTCATTCCTTACAAACACAAAAACAAAAACTTTTTATACTTATTTCAGACTTGCAGAAAAATTGCAAAAATATTAAAAGAATCCCTGTATACCCTTCATTCACATTCTCCAAGTGTTAGCATTTTATCATATTTGCTTTATCATTCATTCTCTCTTAATAGTTTTCCCCAAAAACATTTGAAAGCAAATTAAAGACATGATTTATCTCTTTACCCCCTTATGTCTAAAAAACTGCAGTATGGGGTGTTTCCCAACAAGGGCATACTCTCCCATAACCTCAATACAATGATCAAAGTCAGGAAGTTACATTGACATAATACTATTGTCTGATTTACAGACTATATTCAAATTACATTGATTGTTCCTCTAATGTCTTTTATAGCAAAAGAAAAATAATTTACTGGCCCAGGATTCAATTCAGGATATTTAATTGCATTTAGTTGTCCTGTCTTTAAAATTTCCTTAAATTGGAATAGTTCTTCAGTCTTTGTCTTACATGACCTTAACATTTTTTTTAAGAGAAAACGTCAGTTATTTTGAAGAATGTCCTCAGTTTGCATTTGTGTGGTGTTTCTTCAGGCCTAGATTTAGGCTATGCATTTTTGGCAGGCAGCGGCAGAAGCATGTCTTTTGATCCATCACACCAGGAGACACTTGATGGCAGTCTGTCCCCATGTTGGTGATGTTACCTTGGACCACTTGGTTAGGGTGATATCTGCCAGGTTTTTCCACAGTAAATATTTGCCCCCTTTTATTTAACAGGTATATTGTGGGATGATGTTTTTAAACCATGTAAATATTCTGCTGCTTCTCCTGTTTTCACCCACTAGTTTTAACATCCATTGTTGATTCTTGCCTGGAACTATTACTACTATGGTGGCTGCCAAATGGTGATTTTCCTAATTTCATCTTTCCTTTTATGTTTATTAGATAGAATTCTATTATAAAAAATAATTTTTCTTCCCCCACCTTTATTTTATCAATTACTTTACATTCAAAGTGACTCATATTCTTTTTTTTATTCTATGGGTTATATTCCTGTACTATCATTATTTTGTTGCTCAAATTACCCCAGATTTGGCCAGGGGGAACCCTTCAAGCTGGTTCCTGTGTGCTTTTAACACACTCCCATCATTCTTTGAGTGTTTCTTTACTTTTAGCACAGCAAGATATTCCAGGCTTATCTTGCACTTCTCCTACCCAGTCATTTAGAAGCAGCCATTTCTCCAAGAAGCTTTATTTATTTCTACTAGAGAATGATGCACTTTTTGGATAACCCTCAAAAAGGTACATATCACTTCTCCTGCATCCCATTGGCCAGAATTTAGCCAGTGTGCACATAGAGCTGCCAGAGAGGCTGGCACAGTGGTTGTGTTCAACTAAACCTCAGGAGCTCTGAGTAAAGAAAGGAAGAATAGGGGTTGATGGGCAGCTTGAAGTCTGCCACAGAGCCTACCCAATCACTACCGGCAAAATGTTCTCCCTGAATTCTAAAATCTAATCATATCATTTCCCTGCCCCAAAGAGTTCCCTGTCCAGAAACTCTCATTACTTACAGGATTAAGCTTCTAAAATTTTCTGTAACTGCCCCATCATGCCCCTTCCTATGCACCACTATATCCAAATTATTCCCCTGCTATTTACAAATACAAACCATCAGGTTTTTTATTTTTTAGTTATTTTGTGAGACAGAGTCTCACTCTGTTGCCCATGCTGGAGTGCAGTGGTGAGATCTCAGCTCACTGCGACCTCCAACTCCGGGTTCAAGTGATTCTCCTGTCTCAGCCTCCTGAGTAGCTGGGATTACAGGCACCCACCACCACACCTGGCTAATTTTAATTTTTTTAGTAGAGGTGGGGTTTCTTCATGCTGCCCAGGCTGGCCTCGAACTCCTGACCTCAGGTGATCCACCTGCCTCGGCCTCCGAAAGTGCTAGGATTACAGGCGTGAGCCACCACACCTGGCCCAAACCATCAGTTTTAACCAACTCGGCCTCCTCTCAGTCTCTGGTAAACATAATGCTCCTCCCTTTTTCCAGATACTGGTCATGCAGCCCCGACTTCTTGAAGTCAATGCCATCTCCACATCCAAGAGATCTGCTCAAATTTCCCTACTATAATCACCCAAATCAATGTGAAATGTTTACTTTTTTAACACTTGACTTCAGAGTTTTTCTTAGAGAGATAACTCTCTTTGTTTAGGAAAATACTTAGGATCCTTAGGACAAGTTTGCAATGAAACAAAGAAACAAACAAACCAAAAAAAAAAAAAAAAAAAATGCAAAACTGCTCTGCATGAAATAAACAGGAACTGGCAGTGGGAAAACAGAAAAGATTGTTAAGATTATGAAGGTCGTGAGGCTAAGGTCTGGGGAGGAGTGGGGCAGGTGAAATAGGAAAATCACCTTTAAGAACAAGAATGTCTTCTCAATATTACATTGTTTGCTTTGCCTTTTTTTTTTTTTTTTTTTTTGAGACAGAGTCTCACTCTGTGGCCTAAGCTGGAGTGTAGTGACGCAATCTTGGCTTACTGCAACTTCTGCCTCCCAGGTTCAAGTGATACTCCTGCCTCAGCCTCCCAAGTAACTGGGACCACAGGTGCAAGCCACCACACCTGACTAATTTTTGTATTTTTAGTAGAGACGGGGTTTCACCATGTTGGCCAGGCTAGTCTCAAACTCCTGGCCTCAAGTGATCCACCTGCCTTGGCCTCGCAAAGTGCTGGGATTACAGGCCTGAGCCACCACCCCTGGCTTGTTTGCTTTGTTTTCTATAAATCCCTCTTCCTGGTCCCAAACCTTAAGTTAAGTCTTCCACCCACACAAATACTTTTTTAACTCATGTGATGGGGAAAGACAAACCAAAAGACAGGAGCTACATCACACATCTGGGTCAGCACTGCACAAGGAAATGTCCGTAAGATGTGAGGCATAGTGCAACAGATTTCAAAGAAAGCAGGAATTCGGGTCCAGACATGACCCCTGGGATGTAAGCCCTTCACCCTGCCCAGGACAGAATCCAGAGGAGTTGGTGATGGATGTGGGAATGAGATCTTGGATTTCTCACAAGTTGTAGGATTGAGATTGGAGCCAATTTTATTTAACTCCCTAAGAAAGCTGATCTTGGCTGACACCTGAGCTATAGGATTTCTTCTCAGAATTCTTCATTTAGAGACTTTCAGTAGTGGCTAGCTGTTAGTTGTGTCCACGCAGAGGCTCCTTAACTTCAGTATGAGCTCATGGAGAATGAGGACTGTTTTCTTTTATTGCCTTCACTACCTATGGTATTGTAAAGTAAATAATAAGCTACCTGAAA